CCCCAAAACCCCAAAACCCCAAAACCCCAGAATTGAGATAATCCATTGAAACTACAACTTTAAATTTAGTCAAAAAAGATGGATTATTTTGGTCTTTCACTCTAAAGAGCTAAATTAGATGCCAGGTAGGCCAGTCTCAGACTTCTAAATATTAACTGGATTAGATACTAAGGAGGTGTCTCAGAAAAAGTAGACCACTTCAAAAATGGACTACGAAAACATAATGAAAATAGCAGAAGCCCTAGTAAAGAACAAAAGCTGACTAAAAGAGAATGCCAAGAAAAAGAGCGAAGAGAGGAAACTTAAGTCAATACTTAAAAAGCCAGGATCTACTAAGAAGAGAATGAAAAAGGAAGGCTTTAAAATGGGATTGTCAGGAAATAGTAGGATTAGAGAGATCTTAAAGATAAAAGATATTGCTTCAACCTTGCTGTCCACTCAAAAACATGGAGATCTAGCTGCTAAGATCAGCCAACTGAACAATCTCTCTACAGAAATGGAAAAACAATGGCAAAATACTCAAGATTTAGGGTTATCCCCTTCCCAGCCCCTTGAAGATCGCAAAATTCTCTACTTCACTCCCTTCATTAAAGACTTCAAATCCCAGCCAGAACACCACCTAACCACCATCTGCCACAAAAAACTCGCTTCACTGATCCAGTCCCTTCTCCTCCCCTCTCCCACCTCCCACTCCTACACCCTCAAACCCCCTCTCTCCTCCCTCCTCCACACCCCCACCGCCACACGCGACGAGCTCATCTCCACCCTCACGCACCTCCTCACCACTAAATCCACCTACATCCCCGAGTCCAATAGTTATGTGGTGGAGGGGGAATTGAGAGGGGTGTTAGGAGTGGGGTGTGTGAAGCCGAGTGAGATTTTTGGATTGGTGGAGAGATTTTTAGAGTAATTTTTGATTTTGGATTTTTGATGGGAATTTTGGGGGGTTTGGAATGTTAGAGGTTGGAATTTTGGGAAAATATGTGTTGGTTTTAGAGTTTTATTAAGGGGTTTCTATCAGTTTAGTATCTTCAGATCTACTTTTGGACGTTTATATTTGAGAAAACTATTTTGGTAGGAGGCCTGAACTGTTTAAAATGCTTCTTCGTTCTATCAAACGATAGCTTTGGTGTAAATTGAACAATTGGAGAAGCTGCAGGTGAAATAAAAGTCCTGCATTGTGTCAAACATTGAGGAAACTTCTGAGTCTTCGACAAAGATCTGAACAGTTTTAAAGGAGAGTGTAAATTTTCACGAGCTTTTTCAGGATTCATTACAGACTTTATCTTAGAAGACTTTAGTAAAATCTTCTTAGGCTTGTATTTCTTTTTAGGCTTTCTGTTTATCATTCTTAAATCTAATTCTCAAAAACTTCTTGTTTAGCTTATACTTCTTTCTAGTTTCCTCCTTCTCTTGAGATTTGAGGTTACTAAAGGATACACTAATTAAACTACTAAACTTTCTTAACAATGTTCTCGCTTCTAAAACCAATCCAGAGGTCTAAATCCACCCTAAGCGCCTCCTTTCAACCCTACAAGACCAAAATTCCCCTTTAAAAAATATATCTTCACACTTACGGCCCAAAGCTGGTCCCATTTCCCCAGTCAGCTCCAATAAAATCCAAATTTTCCCAAAAAATTTACCTCGTATAAGAAATGCGTCTTATCCATTACCCTCAGAGATTTTTCAATTGAGCTTAAGCGGTCCTTTGCTGTGAGATTTGTTTTACAACTGCCCTTCTTTTTACTAAAATTTGGCCTAGGTTTATATTTGATATTTACAATTTCAAATCGATATTGTAGTTAAAATCAGAGCCAATTTTATTCAGCCTAGACTCCTAGAAATTAAACTAATTTATTTTACACTAGGTGTTTTAGTCTCTTTGTAAAAATTTTATTTGTCATCCTCATCCCTCATTTCTTGTTCAAAATTCTTACTCTTCCTGTAGTCTCATTTGTAATCTCTGAGAACGGGGTATAAGTATTCTTCTGTCTCTAGAATAATATATTGAACTTGGCACAAATTGGATTGAGCCAGAGGTCTAGTGAATTTACAGGCTGTAGAATCTGCCTCTCCGTCGGGATGCTTACTTCATATTCTAGTTCTGTCTGGCTGTCTTCGGGTGTAGCCTGAGTCCCTTCCTTCTCCTTAGCAATACCCCTCCTTCTCCCTATACCCCATTACCCCTACACACAGACCCCCACTCAGCCTCCAAATTCCTTCAGTCCCCCACCTATTCTCCCACTGCTCTCTTCCATGCTGACCTGTTCACAAATTGATTACTATACATTTCGATTTTGGCTTAAGAGCAGGGGTTTTGGGGTTTTGGGGTTTTGGGGTTTTGGGG